CGCTCTGTGCCGGGGGAGTGGGGGGTGGGGGAGTGGGGGGGTGGAAGACCCGGGCTTCAGCTGGCCATAGAGAAGGCCAGCTGACCAACCCAATCAACGTGGCCTGGGTCCTAGTGTCATGGCCCTGCCGCCCTTCCCCCGCGGCAGAGCGGGCCTTACCCTGAGGGCAAGTCTGGCAGCAGTGCCCAGGCAGCTGGCGTGGCTGCCTGCAGGTCAGGGCTGGGCACTCGGGTTTGATGTTCTTGCAGCTGACCCTGACAGGGCCCCTTGCGCGGCGACCCCACTGAGACTGCGCTCAAGAAGACAGAAAGCGGAGTGAGTTCAAGACCCCAACCGGTGAGACCGGAGGACGAGAACGGATGGTCCCAGGACCATGGCAGGGCTGTCCCACAGAGCCAGACCGCTCTGCCACTTAGAAACTGCATTATTTAACCTCTCGGACTTGGGGTCCCTATCTGGAAAATGGGGATAATAATATTACCTATCTATCAGGGTTTAATGGTAATTTAGACACGTAACGGGATTGGCGTAGAGCCTGACACACAGTGAGCAAACAGTAATAGTCAACACCTGAGACTTGAAGGGAGTGATCCCCCTATTCCCTCCGACGCTGGAAAACTATCCCAACACCTCCCTGTGTGGGAACTCGCCTCTTTCTCCTCAGCAGCTCCAGGTGCACTCTGACGTCCCAGGACCCCAGCGCTCCCCCACGCCCGCACCGCACGAAGGACCTGGCCTTGGCTGCAGGTCCACTCACCGCCTCGCAGGCGCACAGCACACAGCGCATCACCCCGAAGGGCTCCCCTAGGTCCGGGTGCCACGTCTCGTCCAAGGCATAGACCTTCCCGCCGAAGGAGCAGCCTGCGGGAACCGGCTTGGCTGGCGGCCGCTGTCCCGCTCCTGCCTTGTGCCCGCCCAGGGCACTGCCTGCCGGGCCTACGTCCCTTGGCCCGACGTGCCTCGCGACCCTCGCCCACCCCTCCAGGCCGCTTGCTGCGCGGAGCCACCTGCACCCGGCGCCCCCTCCGGGCGGGCTCAGACTTACCCCAAGCAGAACCCTACCCGTGCCTCCCTTGTGCGCCCACCTACCTGCCGCTCCCCGAACGGGCAGTGGCTCCTTCTCGGGCCGGATGGGCAGCGCCGGGGGCTCGGGGCCGGCGCCGCGGGCCAGCGGGGAGCCGAGCAGCAACAGCCCTAGGAGCAGCAGCGGGGCCGGGAGGCTCGGCATGACGCGAACGGGACAGCTGGGGAGGCGGGAGGGAGGAGGGAGCCAGCGAGGGAGGAGGGAGGAGGGCCGGGCCTGGGGCGGTCCGGTGAGAGGGGGCCGGGGCCAGGGCCTGGGCAGTGTGGCGAGGGGCTCGTCGGGCGGCCGCGGAGTCGGCGCCGACCGCGCCGGGTGGGGCTGGAGGAGCGCCGGGAGGAGTGCGGGCGGGCGGGTGCTGACCCGGGCCGTACGCCGCTCTAGTGCCCCAGGCGCCGGCTCCGGCCCGTTTTATGCCCCGCGCCCGGCGCCCCGGCCGGGGGCCTCCTCCTTAGCAAACGGGGCGGCGGCGGCGGCTCGGCGAGGGGCCGGGCTGAGCCCGGGGGGGTCCGGCCCAGCAGCAGCGGCCCAGATCGCAAGGGGGGAGGGGAGGGAGGGGCTGGGACCGGGCAGAGGAGGAGGGAGGGGCTGGAGGGGAAGGGGGAGACGAGGGGGCAGGGGGAGGGGAAAAACTAGGGGGCGCGAAGAGGGGGAGAAGAGGCGGGCCCCGAGCCCCCCGCTGCCGGCGGCCACAGGACAGCTGGACCAGAAAGGTGCTGTCCGGCCCAGGACAGGAGCTCCAGGGCAGGGAGGGGCAGAGGATGGGCCTGAGGCCTATGCTGGCCACTGGGCCAGGTACCGGGTCCTATCCAGGAATGAAGACTTGCCTTTACTGATGAAAGTGCAGGAAAGACCCATCACCTGATCTTCCCCTGACTCAGCACACAGCACCCCTCAAAGCCCACTGCCTATGTGCCCACACTGACCTGTTTCCCTACCTCTTCTCTGAGGTATAAAGAAGAATGTTTTATATTAGTCTTGTCCCTCATTCTACTGTTCCCAAGGACCAGGGCTGAGCCAGAAACAGCAGTGTTCCCCTTTCTGATGGTGCTTCCCTCCCCACTATAACCTGTCCTCAGGCCCAGCTTACCATCACTGTGCCCATCCTGACCTGCTTTCTCACCTAGGAGACCCTCTGCCTCTCCACTCACCCTCTCCTTTGTCTTGGTTCCCTGATCATAACTGCCTCCCTCTCCCCTCCCACCCCCATAGGCCCACCAGCCTCCTAGCCATCCCAGCACCCTCCTTCCTAATCTTAGGAGGCATCTCGTCTGGCTGAACTGGAGAATTCTGGGATGTAGGCCATACTCCTTAGCAGACAGCCCCATCCTTAGGAGGAGGAGCAGGAGAGGGCCTGAGGAAGAACTGGGGGTGGGGGTGGGGGGCTGCTGGGAACAAGGTCAGGCCAGGAGGCCCCTGAGGACAGAGACTGTGGGGAGACTGGGATTGAGGGGAAAGCAAAGGAACTAGAGCCAGGGCCAAAGGAAGAGGGGGGCCAGCAGGGAGGTATTTGCGGGGGAGGTTCAGCAGCTGTCTTTCCTAAGACAGGGACACATGGGCCTGGTTATTCCTCTTGTCACATGTGGAGTGGTAGGAGATGGAAGAGGGAGAAAGACAGGGCAAGGAGAGGAGGGCACTGGCACAGAGATAAGTGGTCTTAATGGTCCGAAAGACAGGACTCCAGCAAAGCCCAGGCTAAACCCAGCTAACATACATATCTCACCTTGTAGTCCTCTCAAACCATCCAAACCCTTTCCCCATAACACTGACCCCTAACAAGACTATTCTCCTAATAAAGGCAATACCCATTTCCTACTTAGAATGGTATAATGACAAGGCAGGACCCCAAAGGGGGTTAAGCAGAGAAAAAGGAAAGCAACAGCCCTATTGGATTTCAGCAGCAGGTGTGGTATCCAGAGAAAAATTTGGATAGTCAGAAACTTAAAAACCCACCAATCTAAAATAAGACCTCTTCTCCAGGGACAAAAATGTCCTGCCAGATTCCTCCTGGAAAAAAATCCTCTGCTTCCCACCCATCTCTTCCTCAATCTGGGTCCCAGGTTTCCCATCTCCTAGGAAAAGACAGGGATCCCCTTATTCAAATCCTCCCTGTAGTGCATGTGGGTGGAAGAGCCAGTGGGATCTGCCAGTGGACCATGGTCCAGGCAGGGGCTCCACGGTCCAGCATGGGTGGGAAGAGAAGGCGTCACTTCCGGGGGCCCTAGCCAGTGTCTGGTGGCTCCCTGCTCTCTGATTGGGCAGAAGTGGCCAGGGCAGGCGTGTGACCCCATTGCTGTGGAGGGGCTGTGCCCCAACGCCACATGCCTTGCTACCTGTCTGCTCCCCAGAGTCATGTCTGTTCTGCACCTGAGTCCTTGAGCCCTTCTCTACCTGGTGAGTGGCAAGCTGGGTTTGGGGTTAAATGAGGGTAGGAAGAACAGGAAAGAGGACTTGGGCTCTCAGCTGGGGGAGGGGCAGGCAAATTGGAACCTACATGCACTGACCTTTGTCGAGAAGAGTGTAGCCTTCCCAGAATGGGAGGAGCAGGACAGAGCAGGGGTAGGGGGTGGGGTGCTGGTTTCTGAGGGACTGATCACAGACTTGGTGATATAGCACAGTCCCTGTGGCCCTTAGGAAAGGGGACAGGGCCCGGGGAGAAAAGAAGAAAGGAAGCCTATTTAGGGCTTAGGTACACAGCACCCAGATGGACACAGCTCCACTCGCTTTTTCACCACTGGGTCATTCCATGTTGACTCCAGGCTCTGAGTCCTGGGGCTGGGGAAGCTGGGTCAGGGAAGCCAAGGCACAAGGAAAGGGTGAAAGGAGGAGGGCTCATGCATGTTGACAGACCTACAGGAAATCCCAATATTGAATCAGGTGCAGGCCTCTTCACACAACTTGTGAAAGGAGGAAGCCATGTGGGGGGTCCTGTGAAGGAACTGGAAGGGGTCTGCAGAGGGGGCAGGGAGGAAGGTACAGGCTATGAGATAGATATGTTGGTGGGAATATAAGGGAGGTAAGCCCTAGTGCCACCACCTCACTCAGGCAGGCATCACCTCACTCAGCAGGTGCCCATTCCTGGGCAGCCTGCCTCAGGAAGGAAGACCCAGGACTGTTAGTCCATCTCTTTGCCTGGCATTTCAGAACTTGCAGTACAAAGAAAAACTCCACGAGGCTTTATGTGTGGAGGTAAAAAGAGAAAGAATAAAAGGTGAACTTCTCCTACATCACATTCTTCTAACCTTTTACTCACCGACCTCTAGTAGTCCCAGTTATGTTTTTACCTAATTCTCCTCAGCCCCAACTCTCCAACAAACTCTGAAGCTATCCCTCAATACACTGTACATGTTTGCTGGCCCTTCATCCTGGCCCTGTAGCCTAATTTCCACTCTCTTCTCCAAGCTTGTGCCACTCTACATACTTCCATTCTCTATCCCATCCCAGATTTTCTTCAACAACCAAGCAAATTGCTCAGAATTTGAGGGAAATTAAGGGGTGTGTGTGTGTGTGTGTGTGTGTACATATCCTGTCCTTCTGCTCTTGGGGGTGAGTATTTGGGGGTGTCAGACCCACCTCAGATTCACTTGAGAACCCTTGACAAAGAGGAGACATCATATGCTACAATGACAAGGAAGTGTGGGACCAGTCAGAGCTTTAGCAGTTCTAGGCTAGTCAGCATCTCAAGCCTTCCCAGCATCTGTTCCCCCTGCCAGGCAGAATCTTTTCCTTGAAACTTGATTAAATGTTCACTGTTCCTGTCACTTTCAGGATAGATTCCAGACCCTCTTCCTTGGCCCACCTGTGCCCCGCCCCACTCTATCCAGAAGTGCAACAGCCTAAGCCGCCTCCATGGCCCCAGGAAGGATTCAGGGGAGAGGCCCCATACAGGGAGCCACTCCAGCCAGATATCATGGCCAGAATGGAGCTGACTGGTAAGAACCCTTGAGGGAGTTAGTGCCAGACCAGAAACATGGAAGAGGGTGAAACAGAAAGGAGATACACTTAGGGACAAAAGCAAGGTAACCCAATCTCCCAGCAATATTGCATCTGCGAGGCAGATACCTCAGATTTCAGGTCTGGGTCCTGAAATGGAGTTCCTAGACCATAACCCACAATGATTTTTTCCTTTTCACCCCTTTCAACCTCATCTCTCCTTATCCAAGAATTGCTCCTCGTGGTCATGCTTCTCCTAACTGCAAGACTAACTCTGTCCAGCCCAGCTCCTCCTGCCTGTGACCCTCGACTCCTAAATAAACTGCTCCGTGACTCCCACATCCTTCACAGCAGACTGGTGAGAATCCCCAAGCTCTGTCCCCTCCATCCACTTCACAGGTATGATATCCTCACTCCCATCACCTTCTCTCACCTCCCCTCACTCCCTGATCAAATCTCTATGCCTCCCCTATTGTTTTTAGTAAAACCAATGTTAGTGACCACGACTTCCTGATAAAGCTTATAATTTGCAACAAAGCCCTCTTTTAAAATCCCCACTCTAGACATTTTTCTCATGAAAGCCTGTCCTGGTCACAAGGCCACCATACCTCCCTCTACTGCAGCTCTGTCCTCCCCTCAACCAATCTTTTTCAACAGGGTCAGTGTCCAGACTTTAACCCTTTGTCCACACCTGTCCTGCTGCCAGCGGTGGACTTCAGCTTGGGACAATGGAAAACCCAGACGGTAAGAAAGGCCATACCTTCCTTTGGTCTTCCTAAGCCCTGTCTTCATCAGTGTCCTACTGCTTCCCCATAACTTTATCAAAATTCCTATGTAACCTAAAAATATCTCATCTTCAGCTTTTCTATACAAACCCAACCCACATTCTCCTATGATGATATCCTGTAGACAAGAATCATCTTGGGCTTGCAAGCCCAACATGTTATACAGATTCAAAGCTGAATAGCATGAAAAGTGGGATTCAAGTCTCTCATAGCCATGCCTTTAACCTTTCTAAACTGGCATGAAAAAGTAAGATTGATCTGTCATCCACAGATGACAAAAAGCTGGGAAGCACAGCTAAAATAACAAAAGGCAGAATCAAATCACTGAACAGCTAGGTCAAAAACAAGGTGAAATTTAAGAGATACATAAAATTCTACGTGTGTCAATTAATTGAGTAAAGTCCTATCTGTCTTTCATGCCACAAATGCCCCTGCTTCCCTAAAATAAACTTCTAGCCCTAGCACTTTCTATGAAAAGATCTAAGAGTGGTACGTTGACCCCAGACTTGGCATATCACATTATTGAAGCAGCTATGTTAAAAGCTAGTGATTTTAGGCTGTTTTAGGAGATATTTAGCATCTAGTATTATGCCACTCCTTGGAAGGAAGGTTGGGCAATCCTACTTCCATAGTGATATTGCCTCGGAAACCCAAGGAGGGGTCGCTATGAGTCGGGGCTGACTCGACGGCACATAACAACAACAACAACAACATTATGGAAATACTCCTACAAAACTCTATTCTGATCAGATTATACTTTAAAAAGTACTAGATTGAGGGTTTGCTTTTTGTTTCTGGTTTTTTCCCAATTAACACAGGCCATGATAAGCTAGTGTGTGTCCAGAAGGAAGCAACCTGAAGAGTGAGAGGTTAGAAAACGTATCATATTAGGAATTTTTTTTTGTTGTTTTTTTTGTTTTGTTTTGTTTTTTTAATTTGTCTGGGCTCTTAAAAGCTGGCAAGCAGCCATCTAAGATATAACAAATGGTCTGTATCTGCCTGGAGCAGCAGCAGGAGACTCAGAAATTGGAGAAAGAACTTTACTGCAGGTCTAACTGCCTCCTTTGCCATGAGACCAGAAGAACTGGTTAGTGCTCAGCTACCATTACTGAATGATTCAATCAATGAATCAGCCCCAAAAGGGGTAAAACTATAGGTCAGAATTTTAAATTCTTACAGAATCCAGACTTACTGAATCTATTAAGTCTACAGGAACTCCCAAATCCATTGCTTTAAGAAAATCTTCAAACCATAAACCAAAATTGTCTCCTGAAAACATCTTCAAATTAAATAACTACTTAGCTAAATTAGTACAGAATATTTTTCACAAAATACAAGAGCACTGTGCTCTTTTAAACAATTATTTATATGAGATCAAATTGAAGTAATAACTCTAAAGCACAGATGATAAGTTTAAGGGGCAGTGAGTCTAAGTCAATGGTGGTAAACAAACATTGGCAGCGATAGTGAGAATGGTAACACAATATGAAGAATGCAACCCATGTTACTGCATGAACTGTACATTTAGAAACTGATGAATGATGTATGCTGTGCTGTGTATATTTGCACCAAAATTAGAAGGAAAATCCAATAGTGAAAAAGAAAATCTAATTAGCTTGGAGAAAAGTGATAGTCCTGTACAACAAAGCTGTCTGGGTAGTTATGCAAATGGTCAGGCACTCCACTACTGTTGGAAAGGTTGGTGATTTGAACCCACCCAGACGTACCTCTGAAGAAAAGCCTGATGATCCACTTCCAAAGGGTAACCAGAAATCAGAATGAACTCAATGGCAACTGGTCTGGTTTTGGGGTTTTGGGGTTCAGGAAGAAGTGCTTTAGACTAGGACTCAGAAAAGGAGTACTCCTTGGTAGGTCAACTTTTCTATCCTCAATCAATAACAAGTTGCCATTGATTTGACTCTGAGTGCAACCCTATGTGTGTCAGAGTATAACTGTGCTCCATAAGGTTTTCAATGGCTGATTTTTTAGGAGACTTTCTTCTGAGGTGCCTCTAGGTGGCCTTGAACCGCCAATCTTCCAATCAGCAACCAAGTACATTAACCCTTTGCACCACCCAAGAATTCCTTCTACCCTTCAAATCCCTAGAATTCCCTTCCATTTCCTCAAGTTTTCTAGGGGCACTGGATCAGAGAAGAAGGGCAGTTGCTTTGGATCCCTTGTCCAGCTCCATCATTTATTAGCAAGTTCCTTCCTTTTGTCTTTATGATATAATGTACTCTCATCTGTATATTAAGTTACACTGGTTTCTCAAAATTCCTTACAAATCTCAAAATTGTATGATTTCACAGTTTTGTCATAGCAAAGAGTAAGTTTACAATGCTGGAACCAAGAGGCAAAAGCTATAGTAGGACAGATCTCAGTATGTTATAAAACTCAAACTCACATATTATTGGAGGGGGAGACTTTTCTAAAACTAAGCATAACACCAGGCTGGGTTACCGGACACTGGGATTATTCAAGCAAAAGCTGATGACCAAGTGTCCAGAGACTGTGAAGGAATTCCTGCTCTGGGTGGGACCTTGGTCCTGTCCAATTTTCAGCTCCTATGATTCATTCTGCTGGCTACTCCTACAGGCTCCCCACCCGCTGTTAGCATGCCCTTTGAAGAGCAGTGAGCTTCTCTCTTCCCTCTTTCTCCCAGGAGCAGACCAAGGCACAGGACGTTCTGGGAGCAGTGACCCTTTTACTGGAGGGAGTAATGGCAGCACGGGGACAACTGGGACCCACCTGCCTCTCATCCCTATTGGGGCAGCTTTCTGGACAGGTCCGCCTCCTCCTTGGGGCCCTACAGGGCCTCCTTGGAACCCAGGTATGTCCCCAGTCAAGACATATGTAGGAACTGCCCTTCTTCTCTGACCTAATAACCCTAGAAGACATAAGGGGGAAAGGGGAATTCTAGGGATTTTGAAAGCAGAAGAGTTGACCTACCAAGAAATGCTTTCTCTCAGCCATAAAGGCTTCTTGCCAGACCTCTCTCATTTCCACAGAGACAAGGGAGGCACAATATCTGGCCTAAGTCTCTGGCCTCAGGCCCATCTTCTGCCCTCAGCTTCCTCCACAGGGCAGGACCACACCTCACAAGGATCCCAATGCCATCTTCCTGAGCTTCCAACAACTGCTCCGAGGAAAGGTGCGTTTCCTGCTGCTGGTAGTTGGGCCCACCCTATGTGCCAGACGGGCCCTGCCCTCCACAGCTGTCCCAAGCAGTACCTCTCTATTCCTCATACTGAACAAGCTCCCAAACAGGACTTCAGGATTGTTGGAGAGAAATTCCAATGCCTCAGCCAGAACTACTGGCTCTGGACTTCTGAACAGACTACAGGGATTCAGAGCCAAAATTCCTGGTCTGCTGAACCAAACCTCCAGGCCCCTGGATCACATCCCTGGATACCTGAACAGGACACATGGACCCTCGAATGGAACTCATGGACTCTTTCCTGGGCCCTCACCCAAGGCCCTAGGAGCCTCAGACATTTCCCCAAGAACTTCAGACACAGGCTCCTTACCACCCAACCTCTGGCCCGGATATTCTCCTTCCTCAACCCATCCTTCTACTGGACAGTACATGCTCTTCCCTCCCTCACCCACCCCTGTGGTCCAGCTCCATGTCCAGCTTCCTCACCCCTCTGCAACCACAGCCAAGCCCAATCTTACCAGCCCTCTTCTAATGGAAGCCCATTCTGACTCCCAGAATCTGTCTCAGGAAGGCTAAGGTACTGAGGCACTGCCAGCATTAACTGGCATTGCCTCTCAGGTACCATTCATACCTGAAAGAGAAGCCTTGGCAGAGAACCGCACCTCTACTAGATTTCTTGCCTCCACCCAAAACCCAAAGCCCTATTAAGGAGGGATATACAGGACAGAAAAAGGGATCATTTTTCATTTTATATTATAAAACTTCATAAGCTATTTTTTTAAGCTATCAATAATGTTCACTAGAGCAGTTAATTATCTTTGGTCTATTTTCTGTACATATTTGCAAGTAATTCTCTGTATGTTCTTTTTCACATGAGAATTCTGCAAAGGCTCAGACTGGCCTGGTCTCTGAACAGAAGCAAAGACTAAACTTTATGTCAGAAACAAAGCTTGCTTCAAGCTTAAGACCCTCGATGCCCTCACCCCCCTTTAATATCATTCTCAGTGGGGCTGTTTGATCTGTGCTTTCGCAAAATGAATGGGAAGTTGCCTCTCAGAAAGACTATTCCTACACAATAGGCAAAACTGAGCCTGTGTAGATAAAAAAATAAATGAGGGTACCACAAACCAACCAAAAATCAGGGAAAGATGTTCCTCTGGAGGGGGGCAAAGAGTCGGCCCACTACCACGAAAGCTAACAGGAAGCCTTGGAACGCTTCACACCCCAGGTAAGGCTGTGCAGACAGCTCAGTGGAGACAAAACCTGGATGTGACAGCTGAGCAAACAAGTGAAGCTTCGACCACTCAGCAGGCAGCTTCACCAGGCACGGGTTCCTGCCTCCCTCCTGTGGAGGCTAGGAGGAAGTGCAGGAAGTGGCAGGAGTCAGTCTCCTTGGGCTCTCAGCAGGAGGGACAAGTACAAGTACAAGTTGAAGGCTCATTTCCCAATTCCCAGAAGCTCACGTATCTAAAAAGTGGTCCCATGTGACCACCATAAACTTGGCTAGGGGATCTCTAGAAAGAGAAACCAGAGGCATGTTTCAAGGCTTCGCAAATAAATGCTGATGCTGTCTAGTGTCTTGGTGCTCAGGAAGAGGTTTTAGATTGCACAAAACAAAAACTCAGCTGCAAAGGTCAACCTGTTACCTCTAGAGTTCCTATAGAAAAACTAGTGAAAACTTTTTCCTCCTTACCCCCAAAAGGAAAGGAGAAAGAGGTTACCATGTAGGTAGAGGAGCTGAGAACCCAGCGTTCCCAACTCTGCCATATCTACCTAAAGGCATCAGAGTGATGCTAAAGGATCAACAAAGGTATTCCAAACTTGTAGAATGGAAGCCAGTGAGCTGGGAACCTTAGATACATTACCTTTTTTAATGCTCACAATTCTTTAAGGTAGGTATTATCTCTATTTTTACAGATGAGGAAACTGAGGCTTAAAGAAGTCAGGTAAGTTTCCAGTGGTTACATAGCCTTTAAGCAGGAAAAGAAGAAAAATCCTAGTCTGATTGACTCTGCAGTCCATACTCTCTCCACTCTGATGCACCATCCCATGTATCATTCAGTGATTCTATTTATGGCAAAATATTTCCAAGTTCTTAGAAGTAAATACATCAACAGTTAAAGAGTTCTGGTGAAAAACCAAAGCTCTTGGCTGGGGTAACCAATTTAGACATCTCCAGGTGTCCATGTCTCCCTTCGTAGAGAGAACAGTTACCATGGAGAAGGAATCAACAAATGCACGAAGCTCCTATGTATCATCCAAATCTCAGCTAGTGTCACTTTCGACATGGGAGAAAATTAGTTCACCTGCACTGCAGATTACAGAATGCAGTGAAGGGAATGGGGAGTGGAAACTGTAATTTACTGAAATACTCAAGTAGGTTACATTTAATGATCAAATAAAACACATTATGTATGGCACAAGAAAAAACCAGTACCCAGAACAAGATATGCAACAGGAAACAGAGACAGGATTATGAGTTCTCTCGGATAAGAGGCAAGGATAGCAAAACTCCAAGAGCATATGGCCAGGAGCTTGAGACATCCTTTAGTGGCATCTGACTTACTCCAGTTCAGGGCAAATGTAAAGAATTCCCAGGCTTCTCCAGTGTGAACTAATCTGCCACCATTGAGACTCTAACCTGTCTACTGATTCCATCCCTTCTTCCCTTCACGTAAAAGATAAAAAGCTTTTACAACCAGAACACTCCTAACTCTATTCACCTTTATGCTAGTTCTCTTGCTTCTGCTATCCTAGGGCACCAGGACATTCTGCTATGATAAACCAACTATTACAGGTAAGTTCTCTCACTCTAACCTAAATCCTTCTCCAATCCCCAAGAAAACCTGACTTCACACATATTCTAGGATCCCCATAAAAACTCACCCTACCCCCACTGCCTCTCCTACTCACTAGCTCTTCTTCCCCACTACAGCGAAGCAATAGAAACACCTTTTCTCCCCCCTGCAGAGGCCATTCATTTTCAACACATTTCCCTAAATACTATTTCTAACACCTCATGCAAAGACCTGAAAATGATAGGGAAGGAAATACCCCAGGCATCCCAGCAGGGAACCAGCTCCCATGGCAAAACCCAGAGATCAAAAGAGCCAACTGCTTAATACATACTCCTAGACAATCTTTCTGGAATTGCTACCCTGAATTTCCCAGGGGAAAAGAGAGTAGCATATACCTTCTCAGAGACCATTAATTCCAGACTGAAGAGTCAGTTCACATGGTGGAATCCTTGGGAGCACCACCATTTCCTCAACTTTTCTCTTCCCCCACTTATAGTTAATGACTGCAGTCAGGCGGCTGCATTGTCCTAGGCACTGGCAACAGACTGCCAACCTCATTGGTATTGCTGCCCTGTCCACTTCACTGGTCTGTGCAGCAGCTCCCTGTTCAATGTCAGTGGTAAGAACCATCACTTATCCTTCCTCCCAGGTAACCACCAGAATATAGAGCAGATAGCTCCTCTACCTACTTGCATAGCCAAGTCCTTTTCTATTCTCTTTACATGGTCAACTGTGCCCCATCCCTGTGCCTAAAAGCCTCCACCCAAAGATTCCAAAAAAATCATGGACATTTCCAGGCTATGCAAGTGACTCATTCAAGTGAACGTGAAATGACTTCCTAAGAGATGGAAAGTGTTGGAAGGCCACGAGCAGGGTTCCTTGCCAATCCAAAATTCTAAGCCAAATGGGTGGTATCTTCCGGGCTTGGGGTGCCCTCAGGAACCAAAAGCACAACAACATTCTCTCTCCCTGAGAGAAAGCCACATTGGAGGATAAATGTTGGAACTACTCAACCAGAAGAACGAGATAACCCTAAACTCAGATACCAATGTAGGTGAGGTAGAGCCTACATTGACACAGGATCATCAGGCTGTGGACCAGAAACATAATATACCATACACTAATGGAAAAAAATGATTTAAAATAGATTTTTTTGAAAAAACAAAAGGAGTCTGAAAAAGTAAAGTTTAATTTAAAAATTATACACACAAAACAACATCTAATTCTTTTTAAGTTCTCCCACTAGATCTTCCAAAGGCAAGTCAGTTCCCATTGAGTTCAGACCACTGAAAGGTGCAACCTGTGGTAGACAGCCAGCCAGTCCCTCCTTAACAAGTGAACAACAGCCAATTGCTACTCAGGCTTGAACGGAGTTGTCTGATGGTGATGCCCTCAATGGGACAACTCAGATGGGAGTTTGGGACAGGAATGTCCATGACCTGAATTAACTAAACCGCAAGCTTGGCTTCCCAGGTGGTTCAGAAGGCCAGTTTCTTCATCAGCAGGTAAACTCTAGAATCCACCTCAAATCCATGCAGGTTGTTGGCATCACCCTGCAGCCTCATGAGCAGGCCCCCATAGGATACGTAGGCAGAGCTGAAACAGAAGGCCCCCAGTCCCATGAGTCTGAGCTCTAGAGCAGCTACTACTCAGTAGCTCTCCATCCCAGCCTAAGAAAGAGAAGATGCACCCTTCTAGAGTTTTGTCATTAGAAATCAAAATTCAAACAAAGATCAATCAATGCACAGACACGTGCAAGATGGTGTTCTTTATATTAGTGAGGGTGGAAAACATGTACATGCTCAAAATTAGGAAAATGGTCAAAGAAAGATATATCCATTTAGGATCAAACAGACAATAGCAACTAGAAAGAAAACTTAGGGGAGACCTGGTGGCACAGTGGTTACAGCACTCAGCTAACCAAAAGATTGGCCGTTCAAGCCCACCAGCCACTCTGTGGGAGTCTGCTTCTGTAAAGATTTACAGCCCTGGAAACCCTATGACACAGTTATACTCTGTCCTGTAGGCTCACTGTAAGTCAGAATCAACTCAAAGGCAGTGGGTTTGAGTTGGGGTTTATGTTAATGGAGGAGGAAAAAGAAGATGAGAATGGTTACACAACTTGAATGTAACCAATGTCACTGAATTGTACATGTAGAAATTATTGGATTGGTGAATGTTGTTTCTATTCTCAAAAACAAAAAATAAATTAAAAAAAAAAAAAAAAGATATATCCATTTACCAGAATTTAGAATCAGTTTTAAACTGACATGAGGAAATGTGTTTCACATAACATTGAGTAAAAGGAGAAGAGAACATTATAATAAACTCTAAGAAAAAAAAATATATACATACACACATACACATAGGGAGGGAAAAAAAACTAAGATATTCAAAAATGTTTATGTAAAAGGTTCCCTCTGGGTATGGAATTATAGGTGATTTTTTCCCTTTTTCACATTACTTTTCTATGCTTTTCGAATTTCTTACAATGGGCACATATTGTTTTAATAAGATTTTAAAGAAAAGAAAAAATAGTTGGGCAGAGAAACCAAAGAACTAGGGATTGGGTTGCAGAGTAGCAAAACACACACACACACACACACACACACACAGTGCCTAGCAGTTTAATCACTTGATGCTGCATCTAGTTCCTGGGGAAGTAACCCTCCTTTGTATACTTTACACAGACAGATTAGCAGTTTCTCATTCAGACCACTGAAACTCCAGATCCTGAGAGGCCTCCTTTGCTCCAGAGAGCAGTGAGCAGCCTGTATCTCAGACTAGAAAATGGCAGACTGGAAATTATTCCCAGAACAGTTTTTTCTAGGTCCCACCTAAGTCTGAAGTGCTTGGGGAAAGAGACTCAACACAGGAAACATGAGAATGACCCCAGTCTCAGAACACTGGGGGTGGGGGAGAATTTGCACAAGACCATGGAACTTACAGGCGTGTTGCTGCTTCAGTAGAAGTTTCATCTCCCTCGATCCTATACACTTTCCCGTACATTACATACTCAAATTGATCAGCCCTGTGAAATAATAGTGGCAGTTATTATTAATAATAGTCAAAAATAAGAGGCCCTTTAAAAATGACAACTGGTAACTAAGTGCCAATATTTTAAAAACAGGCCCTTTACAAATATGATGCCATTTAGTCCTTATAGCAACCATCTCTGTTTCACTGATGAGAAAATGAGGCTGAGATTAAAACTATTCAGCAAATAAAGGTGGAGCTGAAATTTGGAACTCAGTGGAGCACCAAAGCCTTTCCACACACCAAGCTCCCTTCCAAGACACAAGGCCCACATAGCCTAGGTCACTCAGTGGTCAGTCCCTCAGCCTTCAAAGAGCTACAACTCAAATGCCTCTTAATAAATACTGTTGAGTGTTCTATTGCATGTAATTCCCAAACTGAGGTCTGTCCTGGACCTGGCAATTACCTTTGCTGCTCCTTCTCTATTTCCCTCCAGTGTCTTGACTGCATTGTGAGAGTGAATCCTTCAAGATGGACCAATTTCATCTTGTCTCAATTATCTCAATTCGTTAAGTGCAGCACATTTCTTAAGGTTACTCAGATTCTGCCAATAATTGTTTACTCCAAGAATTAAGTAAGAGTCTTTGAATACCACTTATCTACTTAGTCTTCAGAGTATATTTCAAGCATTCCTTGTACCATTCTCACCTGGAAGGCCGGTCATCTGTGGGGTTGTATTCACCATCATCCAGTGTACCATCTTCATACAAGGTACTGGCTATGACCAACCGGAACTTATCACCTGAAAATAATGGCAATAGCTGAAAGTGAAGACAGCTGAAATGGCAAAATACCCCTTGATTATCTGTAATTGGCACTTACCCAAGTCTACAGGGTAAATCTGAATATTTACATCTAAGATAAGGTCCATCTTGAAGGATTCACTCTCACAATGCAATCGAGACACTGGAGGGAAATAGAGAAAGAACAGCAAAAGTAATTGCCAGGTCCAGGACAGACCTCAGTTTGGGAATTAGATGCAACAGAACACTCAATCTAAGCAGCCTGCATCCACTGGCCTCTCATCTACTATCACAGAAGTGCAGACTCAATTACAACCACATATGCAAGAAAGGAAAACTATAACAAGGAAATAGAATTCCCAGAAAATAATCATTGGAAAAATGTAATTCATGTTGCTGAACAATTTGTACAGTAACTGTCACACGGGAACCTAATTTACTATGTAAACTTTCACTAAAAATATTATTAAACATTAATAATATCTAAATATTCATTAGAATATTTAAATAATGGCATGTAAGTATCAATGGTTAAAATTTTTTAAAAAAAGAAAGGTACTCTGGCAGGGAATAATAGTGCCTAAGGCACTTGACTGCTAACCAGAAGGCTGATGGTTCAAACCCACCAGCCATTCCTCAGAAGGAAGGTTAGGCAATCTACTTCCATAGTGATACCGCCTAGGAAACCCAAGGAGGGGTTGCTATGAGCTGGGTCCGACTGGACAGCAAATAACACCACCAAGCCCTGCCTGGATAAATAAGAAACAACCTGACTTTGGGCAAGTTATTCATTCATCCAAAAGCCGAGTCTTTCTGTGCTAGGCATTGTGCAGAGATGATAATCAGTATATATAACAACTGCTGTCTGTCTCAAAGAACATCTCGGTCTCCAGGCAAAGGACAAGACATCAGGGAAAAATAATTATTGATCAATGACAGAATAAAGAGCAGTTAAGTGTAACTCAGAGACTACTTCAAAAAAACTTAAAAGATTTTAAAGGCAATACAGAAACAAAGGCTCTGAACTCATTACTTGCTGTGTAACCTTGAGTGGTCACTTAAGCTCTCAAAGCAAAAAAGGGAAGGCATGTTCTACTTCATAGAGAATATTGCAAGAAATAGGACAAGGTGTGTGTAAGGTGCACAGTACAGTGTCTAACACAGAGTAAACCAAACCAAAAACCAAACCCACTGCCACTGAGACAGTTCAGACTCACAGCGACCCTATAGGGCAGAGTAGAACTGTCCCGCACGGTTTCCAAGGCTGTAAATGTTTACGGAAGTAGACTACTTACTCCTCTTTCTCCTGCGGAACTGGTGAGTTCGAACCGACCACCCTTTGGTTAGCAGCCAAATGCCTTACCCACTGCGCCACCAGAGCCCCTAACAACATTAGGTAGCTATTACTATTACGAAAGATGCCTTCCAGTTTGCTAGGACACCCAAGCAATGGGCACAGCATGTGTGAAGCCAAGGGAAACTGGAAGTGTGTCTGCTCGTCTATAAAATGTGCCCTGACGGAGATTCATCAAGGAGATACGGTAACGCAATGGCTAAAGATGCTAACCAAATAGCCGGCAGTTTGAACCCATCAGCCGCTCCGCGGGAGAAAAATGAGACAGTGTGCTTCCCTGAACATTTACAGCCTTGGAAACCCTATGGGACAGTTCTACTTTGTCCTAAAGATAGAATCGCTATGAGTTAGAATCGACTGAAGTGCAGTGGGTTTGAAAAGAGGTAGTTGGTAGGGGCATGCTGGTAGGGGCAGACCACGCGAGTGGGGCCGCATCTGGCCCGGAGGCGTGTCCCAGAAGAATTGGTTAGCCCCTCCCCCCGTCCGCCCCTACATACCTTACTTACCTCGGTCAAACTTCTTGCCTTCTGGGTCAATATCTTTCACATCGAAAATATCCTCAAACAGGATGCCCGCCATCGTGAGGAGGCCACAAAAGTTGAAGAGGTGCTGAGCGCGCGACCAAGACTTGAGGTACGCGCAGTGAGGAGAAAACCGGGAAAGAGCGCCTGAACAGTAGCAAAAGGATAGCGCAGGCGCAAAGCCGTTCTGTAGCGTCTCCACTTCCGCCGCCTTCCTCTCGGGGTTTATTAACTTCCGCCCCGAGTGGTTGTATCCGCAAGGCTTCTGTATTGAGGGCGGGTCTTGGGTCCAGGTGACTCCGCCCCTGGGTGGGAACAAGATAGATCGCGCCTCGGGTAGAGATGGCACAAATACACGCGCTGAGCTTAAGCTCTACTACGCCCTCTCCAGAGTCCGTGTCCTTAAGACTGTAATGTGTGGGGGCCTATCCCAGGCCAGGACCTTGATCCTTGGCCCAAAGAAGCCCAGCCCTAGCCCTACCCTGTTGGTCCGCGTGCCAGCCGAGGGCACAGTCCGTACTAGGACGGGCGGAGCAGGACCCCGCCCCCAGCGTACTAGCGGGACAGGGCTCTGTGCCCAGCCGCTCCAGCTGGCACTGAGGCCCCCAGGCCGGTTCGGGCTAGCTTGGCCCTGCTGGACGTCACCTGAGCCGGATCCGTCCAGTTTGGGAATTTGCCATGATGTCACTGTGGGGAAGCGGAAAGCCCGCAGTGTTCTCTCCTCCGGTGCAGCACCCCTCACCACCGCTGCCCTCCCCCTGACCACAGCTCCTTCCGCCTGTTGTGTTATGTGCCGCCCATTCCCCACCACTGCTTTCTCCCTCTGTACACTGATCTCTATGTCCCTTCATGTTGGTAGTGGCCAACCAGCTCTTCCCTGACACTGACCCCTCCTTTCTAAGCACTGCCCCTCCCCTTGAACACCACTTCTGCCTCCACGTGCCCCTTCATCCTGGTGCTGTCCTCACACACACGTTTCCTAGGCACTGCCATATCCTCTCAGACTACCCTACCCCTGACACTGCCCATCTATCCTGTGATCAACCCAGCCTCTGCCCTATCCTTCTCCGAACTCTGATAGGGAACGCAGAGCCCCAGCAAGCCGTTCCCCCAAAGCGGCGAGACATCAACAGCTCCTCCAGTTAGTTTCTCCTTGGGCCCTGCCAAGGGGAAGCGACCTCTGCCCCTACGCGCCCGCCTCCCAGGAGTGGCCTCTCCAGCACTAGACCTCCCTTCCCTCTGGCCTCACCTCTCCCTGTCCCCTCCCCACCTCCACCCCCGCACCACTCCCAGGCCAGGTTCCTCTAGGTGCACAGTCCTGGAGGAGCGCTTTGGAAGGGAAAAAATAAAGATGAGGGAGACCGAGAGTCTCAGTTCCAAGCATTCTCCCGACTCTACCCCTTCTGGGTCCAGAATTCCCCTCAGGGTCCCCGCAGCTGTGCTTCTCACCCCAGGCAGCACTAAGAGGCCTTTCCAGGCGGGTCTCGGAAGATCGCCTCCAGCAAGAAGCCAAGGGGGCGCCGCTCCAGAGAGAGGGATTGAAACCGAAGAATCCGATTTAGAGGGCTCTGCAGCCCCGGACCCCAAGCTCGCCTGAGCTCCGGCGTCTCCGGCCTCTCCCGCCACGGCGCAAGGAGTCGCGTACCAGGCGGGCTCCTCCACGTGCCAGTGGGCCCGCCCCCGCCCTGTCCCGGGGCGCCCCACTCTGCGTTAGGCCTCCGCGGGGAAAGGGCGCGGACTCGCGCGGCCCAAGAGCCCCCTGCCGCCTCTCCTGAGCCTGGGAGGCGGCCTCAGAGCAGACCCCGGCAGAGTTAGGCCGCCCCCTCCGGATGGGCAGGCGGGCGGAGCAGCGCAGAGGACACCGCCCTCGGCCCGCCCGCCGAGGAGGGTACAAGAGCGGGAGGCTGTGCCAGCGGCGCCCGCCCGGGGCCCGCCGTATTCTGCGCTCGGCCGCTGTGGCTGCGGGGACCGGTCCGGTTCCGGAGCAGGCGCTGCAGACCAGGGGCCGAGTCCCGGCCCAGTCCGGAGCCTCAGCGGGAGACGAGAAGGGCAGTGTGCGGAGATGGCGGCCGCAGCCTCAGCGGCAGCGGAGGAAGGGATGGAGCCGCGGGCGCTGCAGTACGAGCAGACCCTGGTAAGTGAAGGCGAGGCGAGTCGGAAGAAGTACTCTCCAGGACCGCTGCTCCAGGTTACCCTTGGAGCGGGGCCTGCTTTAACACCGCCCTAGCCTTCTGAACTGGAGAAACTGAGGCTCGGGCGTCTAAGAAGCTGAAGGACCAAGGGGAGCAAAAGCTGTTTGCAGGTTTCTGGCCGAAGCTGGGGCCTGAAGAAGACAATGACATCAGGACAATGTCCCAGGTGTCCTTTCCTTCACACCCTACACACACACACACACACACACACACACACACACACTTTCCTTCCTCCTCCTTCCCCTCACCACCTGAGCCCTAGTCTCAATACCTTCTTCACCCCTGACCCTCATCACCACTCACACCTTTGAACTTTCTCTCCCTACAGTCCCTCCATCCCCCCACTATGTGCATGGCACGGTGCTAGCCTTAGAAACAGGGAGGTGTCGAAGAAAAATTATCAGACCCAAACCCAGCCCCAGCCCTACCCCTGGGGTGTTGCAACCCAGCATTAGCAGGAACCCTTGAGAAGACCGAGAAAAAGGTGGCCTGCCACCTTGGGGGACAGGAGCTTGGGGTATGGGAATTGAGACCTTTGTCCTTGCTGACTCTAGGTATCCAGCTGCCACCCATCCCAGGGGTGTCCCTTGACCTCATTAGAAGCAGGGGTCCTGGGGTTGTGAGCTGACTCATGCCCTCCACTCTTATTTAGTGTTTGAGAAGGTATTTGCCCCTCCTCACTGTCACTGGAGTAGGAGACCCAAGCCTCAGGAAGGTAATCAGCCCTGTGTCTCTTCATCAGCTTGGGCTGGAATTTGCCCAGGAAGGTGGAGGAAGGGGCCCTAGGCTGTAACTAAGGCTGGGAGGTGCCCAGTTACTAGAGAGAGTGACTGGATAAAACAGGATGACCCAGGAAGGTGGCAGGAGTGGCACTTGAGTGAGGGGAAGGAAACAAGAGTGGGAGGTTTCTGTCTGCCCAGGCTGAGGATAGGGACATTGGTCAAGCCAAGCCGGGCACCTGGCCTCTGAAATAGTGTCTGTCAAGAGCCACATCTCCATCTGCTTCACTCCGTCCCTATCTCTGGAATTCACTCTCAGGGTCAATCTCTCTCCTGGGTATTCTCTGCACCAGCCTCTCCCTCTTCTCCTTCTGATTCCTTTGTCTTTCTTTCCCTCACACACTCACCTCCCACCTCCTACACTGTGTCTGCTCTTTATGCTCAACTCTCTTTCTATTTTCTCCTTACTTTCTCCACTCTCTTGTCTCCTCCTTTCTCTTCTCCATCACTTCCCCTCGCTTCCTTTTTCCCCTCTTTCTCCTCTAATTCCTTTTCTCTATGCTTCTCCTCTAGGAGCTCTGGTAGCATAGTGGCTAAAGCACTTGACTGCTAACCAGAAGGCTGGCAGTTCAAACCCACCAGCCACTCCTCGGAAGGAAGGTTGGGCAATCCTACTTCCGTAGTGATACTGCCTCGGAAACCCAAGGAGGGGTCTCTATGAGTCGGAAACCCCTCCTCGGAAACCCAAGGAGGGGTCGCTATGAGTCGGGGCCAACTCGATGGCACATAACAACAACAACAACAACAATGCTTCTCCTCCCTCTCCTCATGTCTATCTCTCACCCTCCCTCTGTCTCTGTCTTTCTCTCCCTCTCCCCTCCCCACCCCAGCCCCAACAGGAGCCCTTTGTGTCCCGAAGCTCTGCGGGTGGCAGCCGGAATCTACTCCTCCCAACCCCCCCAACATACGCCCAGCTTGGCAGGTCTAGCCAAGGCTCTGTGACTCTCCCGTCCCATTACCCCAGCATCCAGTCACAGCACAACTATCAGCAGCTCTGGTGTGCCCCAAACCTCTGGGCTCAGGGCAGCTTCAGAGTGGGACTGAGGCCACCAAACCCTCTCCACCCATCCTGAGAGGCACTCTACTCCCAGCTGGACTGGGAGGCTGGTGGGGGTGGGAACTGGGGACAAGGGGATTAGGGGGGGGGTGGCAGGGTGTAACAGAGTCGGTCACAGGCCAGAGGCCCAGCAAGAACGTGATAAGGATTGGGGCCCCGCCTGCTCCTAGGCCCAACTCTGAGCTGCCCCCAGTCCCATGAGGCTGTTATTGTTATCCATAAGCTCTTGACCATCCCTTATTCTCTGACCTTCCCTCCTCCCACTTTCAGACTCTGTGCCTTAGATTTTTCAGTCTTTCTCTCCTCTAGGGCCTTCGCTCCCACTCCTCCTTAGTGCCCCTCCCCCAAGGCCTGTGAGAAGAGGACTGCTTATTCTGCCACCCCCAGAGCTGTGTACCTTGGCGTCCCGATTACTCTGGCCAGGACTGCCCCCACAGTCTGCAATGTGCATTGTTCCCATACCCCAAGTCAGAGTGGGAACTGTGGGTTCAAGAGGGACTATACAATACAAGGACTGTGAAAAAGGGAGGTGAAGTTCCAGGATCTCTCCCCTACTCAGCACACATCTACTAATGCCTGGTCTTCCTCATTGCACCAGATGTATGGCCGATATACTCAGGACCTTGGAGCCTTTGCCAAAGAGGAAGCTGCTCGGATCCGCCTGGGAGGGCCTGAGTCCTGGAGGGCCCCCCCATCCCCTCGGACTCCCCCAGAGCTCCTAGAATATGGACAGAGCCGTTGCGCCCGATGCCGCAGTGAGCCCCATGGTGGGGTGGGGGACCTAGCTGTGCTGTACTGTGCTGAGACGCCATTTGAGTCTTCCATGGGCAGGGTGGTGTAAAAGGGTAGGCACACCTCGGTGCCAACCTCCCATTCTTCCCTTTCCTGATCTCAGTCTGTTCCGTCCGCTGCCACAAGTTCCTAGTGTCCAGAGTTGGTGAAGACTGGATCTTCCTGGTCCTGCTGGGGCTCCTTATGGCATTGGTCAGCTGGGTCATGGACTATGCCATTGCTGCCTGTCTGCAGGGTGAGGACAAGAACTGCCAGGGAACCGCTGGGAAAAACCATTCTGCTTCCTCCATGCCACTTGTCCAGGTGTCTTAGCTACTTGGCCATTGACCACTTTCCCCAGCCACCCTGACCACCCCTTCTTTGGACATAATCAGTGCCAGTCTCATAGGGCACAACTTGCCTTCAATCTCCCACTTGACCCTCCTTCCTATAGTGGTCTGTCCCAGGGAATGCCATCTAGGGCCACCTTGGCACCCTCTGAGCCCAGGCTCTGTGTGATATAACCTGGGACAACTTGTCAGATGTCCCAGTGGCCTGAGGAGTGGGTGTGCACATAAGGAGTCCAGCAGCATGTCTTCTTCCCACAGCTCAGCAGTGGATGTCCCGGGGCTTGAACACCAACATCTTGCTCCAGTACCTGGCCTGGGTCACCTATCCCGTTGTCCTCATCACTTTCTCAGCAGGATTTACACAGATCCTGGCTCCTCAGGCTGTTGGTACAATAGGAGGGAAGGGGAAGGCAGAGGTGGGACTGCCTGAAAACAGCACCTCGGATGACTCTTCCGGGAATGTATCCCTCCAGGATCTGGCATCCCCGAGATGAAGACCATCTTGCGGGGAGTGGTGCTGAAGGAATACCTCACTCTCAAGACCTTTGTAGCTAAGGTCATTGGGCTGACCTGTGCACTGGGCAGCGGCATGCCACTTGGCAAAGAGGTGATTGATTGTAGGTTGGGGCAGGATGAAGTCCCTCCCCAGTGGGGCGAAAGAGGCAGGCCAAGGTCAAGGTAGGCCCTATTCCTCTTACCATCTGCCCCCACCCCCAGGGCCCTTTTGTGCATATTGCAAGCATGTGTGCCGCCCTACTCAGCAAGTTCCTCTCCCTCTTTGGGGGCATCTATGAGGTAAAGCAGACTCTGAGGGGAGAGGAAGGGTATGCTGCTAAGCTCATAGTTGACTACCCCTTCCCACCACTTCCCTCAGAATGAATCCCGGAACACGGAGATGCTGGCCGCTGCCTGTGCCGTGGGAGTGGGCTGTTGCTTTGCGGCACCTATTGGAGGTAGCCAAGGCCCTTCAGTCAGTCCAACCCCCCAACCTTGCCTTTGACGTCTCCTCCTTGGCCTGATCTGGGTCTGACGCCTTAACACACACAGGCCTCAAATAGCACCCTCCCCGGCCTCCTCACAGGCGTCCTGTTCAGCATTGAGGTTACCTCCACCTTCTTCGCTGTGCGGAACTATTGGCGAGGCTTCTTTGCTGCCACCTTCAGTGCCTTCATCTTCCGGGTCTTGGCTGTCTGGAACCGTGATGAAGGTATGGAGGAGGAGGGTGCTGAGGGGACCCCCTGAGATGGCTCAAGTGGGCAGCCCTTGAGGTAGACCTGCCTCCCTCTGCTACTCTTGTCTTTCCCTCAGAGACCATTACTGCTCTCTTTAAAACCCGATTTCGGCTCGACTTCCCCTTTGACCTGCAGGAGCTGCCAGCCTTTGCTGTTATTGGGTGAGGCACTGTGGGGGTGGGGGCTGTCAGAGAAGAGAGAGGTCTCCATGAGGACTTCTTTTACCCTGGTGCTTCTTCCCTCTCTAGCATCGCCAGTGGCTTTGGGGGAGCCCTCTTCGTCTACCTGAACCGGAAGATTGTCCAGGTGATGCGGAAACAGAAAACCATCAACCGCTTCCTTATGAAGAAGTGAGTTGGCTCTAGGCTCTTCTCTAGACTGCTTTTGGATTGTGTGAGGGTCACAGAGGAGGAGGGAGATAGTCACAGGTAGCTGTCAAACAGAGGCCCCGTCCAAAACAGGCACCCCATTGAGTAAATCAGCCCATAGTGTTTTCCAGGCTGACAAAGCATTTTGAACTTTACATAAATTACCTGAAATTGGCACTTTCAAATTTTTAGTCAGTGGCGGAGGGCATTTGGGGGAGCCCTCTTTGTCTACCTGAACTAGAAGATTGTCCAGGTGATGCGGAAACAGAAAACTATCAACCACTTCCAAGCCTGGGAAGTGCCGTGGGAGTGGGCTGTTGCTTTGCTACTGAAGGACTAAAAACTAAAGACTGAGGTTTCCTTACCTGGCCCAGGCAGCAATGCTCTCTAGAGTGTTTGAACTTCAGTTTCCCCCCGTGAAACTGGGGATTGATGACATTTTTATCTCCAGCACCCCTTTCCAGCTGTGCCACTTGCACAGCTCTCTCAGTTGTGACCGAGCATCAGAAGTGGGGAGGTTTCCCTTAGGACTGACGTCCTTCAGGGAGAGAGCAGCCAGCTGAGCCTGTTCCTTACAGCACCTTTGGTTGACTGCCATGAGTGACCCCAGCTTCCCCCAACACTGACCTTCACTCTAAGTCACCACAGGGGAACAGCTGTGGGCAGAAACTTCTCCACATCCTCAACAATGTGCCCTTCATTAAGGATTCTGGGGGTAGGTGGGTGGGGTCACAGCTCAGAGGTGCCCAAGAGAGAACTGGAAGGTGGACTTTCTGCTGCTGCTATACACTTATGGAGTCAGGAGTTGACGGAAAGGTCTTTGGGTCATACCCTGAGCTCCTAGAACAGCTCCAGTCTACCATCACCCTCAGAGCTACTGTATCATGAGCAACAAAGGGGACTTCTCTCAGCATTGTGTGCTTTTATGTAAGAGCCATGGCTCTGTTCTGATCTCAGCTCTGAAGGATGTGAGGGCACCCAGCCTATCACCAGTCCATAGTAAGTGTGCCACCCATGTTTGATACAGTGAACCCTCTCTTGTCTAGACGCCTCCTCTTCCCAGCACTGGTGACCCTGCTTATTTCTACTCTGACCTTCCCTCCTGGCTTTGGGCAGTTCATGGCCGGACAGGTAACCCAAAGCTGAACAAGAACTTGTACTTTCCCTTGGGATGTATCCCTTCTAAACCCAGCCCCAGCAGCACTGTGGGATTCCTTATTCCCCCTGGATTCTTTTGGGCCCCTTCCCATTATTCCCTCTGCTCCCCAGCCTGAGCCACCCTGTTCACCTATAGCTCTCACAGAAAGAGACGCTGGTCACCCTGTTTGACAACCGGACCTGGGTCCGACAGGGACTGGTGGAGGAGCTAGAGCCACCTGGCACCTCACAGGCCTGGAGCCCACCGCGTGCCAATGTCTTCCTTACACTGGTCATCTTCATTCTCATGAAGGTGGGGCTGCTTACATATATAGCTAATATTTACATAGGCTTATTAGGTGAGTGCTAATAGTTGGCAGTAGGAGCTCTGGTAGCATAGTCGCTAAAGCACTTGACTGCTAACCAGAAGGCTGGCGGTTCAAACCCACCAGCCAGTCCTCGGAAGGAAGGTTGAACAATCCTACTTCTGTAGTGATACTGCCTCGGAAACCCAAGGAGGGGTTGCTATGAGTCGGGGCCAACTCTACGGCACATAACAACAACAACAACAACAACAATAGTTGGCAGTGGGTTTGATTGGGTCTATGAGATGACAGGCATGGCCCTAGGCACTTTTCATATGTTAACTCCTTTAAGCCTCATCACAGTGCTATGAGAAAGGTATTGTCCCCAATTTAAAGATGAGGAAATTGAGGCACAAATTGGCCCAAAGTCACACAGGTGAGGATTTGAACCCACTTTGGTTTGAGTAGTTTCCCTTCCTTTTGCCTTTCTTTTCCTTTCACCATCCCTAAGGAGCTCTGGTAGCATAGTGCCTAAGGCACTTGACTACTAACCAGAAGGCTGACGGTTCAAACCCACCAGCCAGTCCTCGAAAGGAAGATGGGGCAATCTACTTCCATAGCGATACTACCTCAGAAACCTACAGAGGGGTCACTATGAGTCAGGTCCGACTTGACGATACATAACAACAACAACAAGGGAGAATGAATGGATAGGTAGGATATTTGTGCTTAACCGAGACAGTGAGTTCCTCTGGGGTGTATGGCTGCCTGGGGCCTGAGAGGTGTCTCTGTGCCTGTTTGAACTGTCTCCTGCCTACAGTTCTGGATGTCTGCTCTGGCCACCACCATCCCAGTGCCCTGTGGGGCCTTCATGCCTGTCTTTGTCATTGGTGAGCTCAGCTGCCTGTTCTCCCAGCCTGCACCATCCTCACCCCTTGGCCACCCACTGAACATCCCCTGGTCATTCATTGCCTCTCTGCTCAGGGAGTGGGTTTTGGTCTAGCCCCAGCCCCCAACCCACAGGGCTTTCCCCTGCACTGAATGACCCGCTGGCCCTCCCCCACCCTCTGACCCTCTCTCTTCCTAGTGCCCCTGCCCTCCCCCTCCACTACCTGTTTCTCTTCCCACTCCCCTCCCTGAAGGAGCAGCATTTGGGCGTCTGGTGGGCGAAAGCATGGCTGCTTGGTTCCCAGATGGGATCCACACTGACAGCAGCACCTACCGGATTGTGCCCGGGGGCTATGCAGTAGTAGGTAAGTACCCAGGTCCAGATCTGGGTGGGAAGACCTCTTGCCTGGCCACAGGGTCTGAGGCTCTGATGCCCCCTGCTGGCCAACATAGGCCTTCCCTCAGATGCAGAGGTCTAATCCTCAAGCCTAGATTTAGCAGCCCTGCAAGGAGGGCCTCCTACAGGACCCACCCCTGGGTGGAGAGGGTCATCTGGGGCCTGGGCATCCTGAGGATACTGATGGGAGCTGTCCCCAGGGGCAGCCGCGCTGGCGGGAGCAGTGACACACACAGTGTCCACAGCCGTGATTGTGTTCGAGCTCACAGGCCAGATTGCCCACATCCTGCCCGTCATGATTGCCGTCATCCTGGCCAATGCTGTTGCTCAGAGCCTACAGCCCTCACTCTATGACAGTATCATCCGCATCAAGAAGCTGCCCTATCTGCCAGAACTCGGCTGGGGCCGCCACCAGTATGGAAAGCTGGGGGTGGGGGGGAGGCAGGAGAAGGCATGCTGGGTGCTCACCCCCTTGCATCTACCACCACCAAGGCCCTAAGCCAGTGAAACCTGGAGACTACCTACCTGGCTCTCTCCTAGTCTGAGCTGCACTTGTCCACACCTTGAGGAGCTATGGTTGGCCCCTCCTAATCAGAAAGAAGGGTGGGAAACACTCCTTGGCCCTTGGTCCTCATACCCATCGACTCAGGCTTTCCTTGCCCTGGGAAAGTGATGCTCTGGCCTACCCTTCTATGCCAAACCACAAACCAAGTGTTCTTCTCTGCCCCCAGGCAGTACCGGGTGCGAGTGGAGGACATTATGGTACGAGATGTTCCCCACGTGGCCCTCAGCTGCACTTTCCGGGACCTGCGGTTGGCGCTGCACAGGACCAAGGGCCGAATGTTGGCACTAGTGGAGTCCCCTGGTGAGGCCAGGAGGGGGCCCAGTGCTGGGGGCATCTCCCAGGACTCCATCTTCAGGGAGGGGCACAGGATAGGAACACAAGACCAGTCTCCTTTGTTCTAAGGGGCCCCCATTTACCATGTATCCAAGGCCCCACCCTAGGTGTAAGAAAAGGCCAAGGAGGGTGGAACTCTCAGCTCCTGAGTCCTCCCACCTGCTCTGTCTAGAGTCCATGATTCTGCTGGGTTCCATTGAGCGCTCACAAGTGGTGGCATTGTTGGGGGCCCAGCTTAGCCCAGCCCGCAGGCGGCAGTACATACAGGAGCATCGAGCCACCCAGGCCTCTCCACCATGTGATCAGGAGCATCCTCCCAGCCCTGACACTGCTGTTTGCTTCCAGGTGAGGGGGAAATGCTGCCTCCCCCGCCCCATGCCCGCTGGCTTCCTGAACATCACTGTGTAGACTGATGGGGAGGGCTGCATAGAGGGTGGTATGGAGCCACTGCCTCGTCAGCCCCTTCCTGCCCATGCAGGAGAAAACAGAGGACCCAGGCTTCCCTGTAGCCCGGGGGGAGAGTCACAAACCCCTAAAGCCTGCTCTCAAGAGAGGGTCCAGCAACACCATGAATCACGGAGAGAGTCCCACAGGTGAGCCTGTCTCCCACTAGCATCTCCCTTCCATCTTCCAATAGACAGATCCTGAGCCTGGCCACTGAGCTTCATTAAAGTCCTTGCCCAACCCTTTTGCTGGAGCACATCCCAACTGGAAGAGGCTGCCCAGGTGGGCGGGTAGATCTGGGACACCCCTCCCCTTGCCTTCCTCACCTCTCCTGGCCCTCTCCTCAAAAGATAACATTGCACTTGAGGGCCTTGTGTTTGGCCCACAGGGAGCGGGGAATCTGCAGGCATTGCCCTCAGGAGCCTCTTCTGTGGGAGCCCACCTCCCGAAGCTGCTTCAGAGGTGAGTGATGGACCCTCTCCTGGTTCTTTCTCCACAGCTCCTTGTCTGACCCTGACTTATTAACTCTGCAGTGCCTGCCCCCATTCTCCCTGCCCTTCTGCAGTCCTGTCAGTTCTGGTCCTGCAGTATACCTTCCTCCTGGACTCCACCACTTTCCCTTCCTTTCTCCCTATAACATCAACTCTTCTCTCTGGTTTGGCTCTAATAAAGTTGGAGAAGTCGGAATCATGTGACAAGCGCAAGCTGAAGCGGGTCCGAATCTCCCTGGCAGTAAGTGTTCTCTTTCTCCCTGCAGCCCAGGAGCACTAGACAGGGACAGCTAGGGTCTTGGCTGTGTAAAACCCACCCTCAGAGTAGAGGGAGACACCTACCGCCCCTAGCCTCTAACTGCCAACCTTCCTTCTTAGAGTGACTCAGACCTGGAAGGCGAGATGACCCCTCAGGAGGTAAGGTGTGACTGGACTCTGGACCCTGTTTCCTCCTGGGTGTGTTCAGCCATCATCTTGGCTGTTATCCTTATGGGAGGGACCATCGGGTGGGAAAATGGACAGGCCAGCTTTCAGGGAGGTGAAAGCACCTATTAGCACCACCTCCCTCACTCTCCTGGTCTTACAACCCCTCCTCCCTTCTCCACCCCCCCCCCCAGATTCTGGAATGGGAGGAGCAGCAACTAGATGAGCCAGTCAACTTCAGTGACTGCAAAATTGACCCTGCCCCCTTCCAGCTGGTGGAGAGGACCTCCTTGCACAAGGTAGAGCCAGTGGCCTGGGCCTAGCCTGGGCTCTCAGGAGGACAGGGTAGGAATCTAGGTCCCCCATACAAGTCTGGTCTTGGGCCAAAGGGAAAGAGGTACAGAGAGTGGGCTCAGTGCTAAGGATGCTTTTTCGCCACATTGCTTCAAGGATGATGGGAAACTGGGAACCAGAGCCCCTTTGCCTCTTCCTGCTCTCCAGTGGAACCAGGCACCATTTCTCCTCTGCTCAGCCCTACCCCCAGGAAACTCTGAACCAAAGCAGCAGCATAGACAGGACTAGAACTGGGTGAAAGCCAGAAGGCCAGGCCAGGGTCAGAGCTAGGCAGGAGGCTGCCAGAGTCCAACAAGGCTGATACACCCACACTGGGAAAAAAAAAAGGGGGGGGGGGGTGAGAAACAGGCAGGATAAAAAAATCTAATAAACAAGCTAACCAACTCCCAAGTAGGAGTGAGGACACTGGAGAGAAGAGATAAACAAAGATGAGAAATGCCCAGTGGGGGCTCGGAATGTCAGACCCCAGAAAGTCTGACTTAACGTGGGCCAAAGGAGAACTGGTAGGGGAACAGGAAGCCCAGCAGAAGGGCAAAGCAGGCTTTCATGAAGCAGCTGCAGAAATGGGGAGGGAAATTGGGTACAGACAGGTTGGTGGATCGTCAGACCATTTCCAAAGGAGGGAGGAAGTAGTTTGTGGACTGACTGCTTTAGGGCCTTCCAAGGAGGGGCAGTCAGTATCACTGAGCACCTTCAGGCTTCCAAAGGAGGAAGGGAGTACAGGCACATCCAGTGGGCTGATAAGAGAGCTCCTGAGATCAGCAAAAGCCAAGAGATATTTTAGGTAAATTTTTGACAGACATAATGTGAAGGCAGCGAGTGAACACTTCCAAGGCCTACAGCTTGGGCTTCTAGCTTCTGCCATATGGCAGACACAGCTTTACTTAAGAGCCAGCATAGCACAGGCAAGCAGGGGCTGAGTCAGGAAGGACACAGAACAAAAGAGAAACAAAAAATCAAAAGATAATAAAGAAACTTGCAAGCCTTGGGTAAAGACCTCAGATCAAAGTGAGTGGGTGAACCTCTGTGATGTTACAAGAAAAAGAGATAGGCCTGAGAATAACATATTAACTTTTTTATTTAAACTCTTTCTTCCTAAAACCTCTAAAATTTTTTCCACAATGGTCCTAACCCTTAAACATTCCATGATGATAAGTAGGAAGATAAAGAGAAGAATACTGTTGCTGGCTGATTTTGAATGCTTGCTATGTGCCAGACACTATACTAAGCTCTTCACATTTACTTTAATCCTCACAACCACACTCTAAAATTGAGATCCAAAGAGACTAAGCAAGTTGCCCAAGGACAACAGCTAAGTAAGTGGCAGAACCAGGCCTGGAATCTAAGATAATGTGACTCCAAAGCCTGTGGATTTAACCATGGGGAAACTGAGGCGTGCAGTGAGGAGGTCCCTTGTCTGAGTCAGTATAGCAGTCAGGCCCAGAGCCCAGATATCCTGGCCCTAATCCCAGGATTCTTGCAGAAGGCCACGTTGTCCCACTCCCTATCAATTCACTGTTCCCAAGCTCAAAAAGTGGGGGCCCACCAATGGGCTCCAGGGTGTCTAATTAAATTAAAATGAAAAGAACAAGTAGGTGTTTGTTACAAGTTAAAAATCAGAGGAAGAGAAGAAGCCTTTGAGGAACCGACTAAGGCAAGTACAAAGAACTGGAAGCGATAAGAACATAAAAGATCAAAATGTCCTTGTAGGCCTGAGGAATCAATAAGTAGTAGCCCAATTAAGTTCAGAAGGGAAACATTCAGAGGAGAGAGAATACACTGGGGACTATTTAGGGACTTGTGCAACTGGAGGAGATCCCCATATCTGCTAAGCACCTCATTCATTCAGAGGCAACCTACCTGGAGAAGGAGTTGGGGAGGCTAAGAGTACCCAGCACTAGGGCCAGACTGGCTGAGCCCAAATCCTGGCTCTGCCACATTAACTAGCTGTGTGACCTTAGTACTTCCTTGGCCTCTCTGTGCCTCACTTTCCTGATCTGTATAATAGGGATAATAGTACCTACCTCATAGATATTTCTGAGGATTAAGGGAGTTAATTTATGTGAAGCCTGTGCCTGGAATAGTATTCAATGTCAAGAATCACTACTACTACTTACACTGAGAGATGAACAATGGAAGATATGAATAAGAAACTATCTCTGCCCTCACGGAATTTAGTTTCTTGAGGAAGACAGACATGTCAACAAATAATTATACTCCACTGTGATACAAGCCTCTATTAGAGACAAGTATATAACACCGAGGGAAGGGAAAGGGTGACTCTCATTGAGAAAGGCTTCAGAGAGGTGGGGGGGGACAGGTGGGGGTTAGGATTCCAAAACCAAACTCACTGCTGTCGAGTCGGATCCGACTCAATAGCGACCCCTCCTTGGGTTTCCGAGGCGGTATCACTACGGAAGTAGATTGCCCAACCTTCCTTCTGAGGAGTGGCTGGTAGGTCTGAACTGCCAGCCTTCTGATTAGCAGTCAAATGCCTTAGGCACTAGGCTACCAGATTAGTGGGATGTAAAGGGGGAAGGGCTGAAGATGTGGAAGAAATGGATGTTTTCAGAAATGGATGAGTGATTATGTGACGCTAGAAGCTGAAGTGCACGGATGAATCTGAAGCTGGAAAGACAGGCTAGGGTCACTGGGGAAGGGCCTCATCAGCCAGTCTAGGGAACCTGGGCTCTAATTCACATTGAGAAAGAGCACTAGGGTGGCAGAACCAATTTGGAAGAAAGGGAGACAAAAAGCAAGACAACTCTTAGGATGTGCAGCCCAAGACCTGGTGAGGGGTGGTGAGTCTGGGAATCAGAATAGCCAGGATGTTCAGCAATTAGATTGGTAATAATGATTTCGGGGGACAAACGGGTTGCAAATTTTAAAGCATAAACTAAACAAAACCCATTGCTGTTAATCCCAACTCATAGCAACCCAGTATGACAGGGTAAAACTGCCCCATAGTGTTTCCAAGACTGTAAATCTTTGTGGAAGCCGACTTTCCCATTTTTCTCCTACAGGGCAACTGGTGGGTTCCAAGAGCTGACCTTTAGATTGGCAGCTAGGCACTTAACCACTGCCACTAGGGCCTAAAGAAAGGGCCAGAACTCATTAGGATTTGGGGGTGTGGGGGGGAACCAGGGGAACTATTTAAGAAGATAAGAGGGATTATTTGACCATAAAACAAGACTAAGGGATTATTAAAACAGGAAATACTATAATAAAGATACTTCCCTCTGAAGTCAGACAATGGATTTAACTAACCTGTAGCATCTAGGAATCCAGGTAGATAGTGGAGGCACTTGCTAACAACATAAAGTTAATGAAGAAGTGCAGAAGAGCTACTTTACAACAGTTTAGACTTCTAGGCCCTTTTAACTAGAAATACAATCATATCCTCGGTGGGGAGAGGTTGGGAAATTCTGGAAATCCCTTCCTAAAGCTGAAATGTAGCAACTGTATGAGAAAACTTTTAAAAAGTGTTAAACAATGAGTTCTGCGTAATTGATACTCAAGAAGCCAGGTTATTAATGCCCATTTTGATCCAAACATTAAACCAAGACTCTTGCAAGTAAACTGTGAACAGTGAGATAAATGATAGGTCAAAAATTCCAGGAACTGCTGAGTCAGGAAAGTGTTTTTCAAGACATGTGGTTCAAGAAAATCTACTTACAGCACTAGGGGAACTGGCTGACAATTTCTGAACCCTTGGTGATCACACTGGAAAGCTTGGAGGAGGGCCCAAACAAGAAAAACATGGGGGATGGGAATGACTGTTGTCTTCCTGGACTGCAAGCTGAGTCTCACCAGGCCCTGGATGCTGCTTGTAGAAAAGCAAACTGTGAGAGAGCTATAGAATGTTTCAGGCAAGATTGGGATGTGGGAGCCAGAGTGGAGAGATCTAAACTGGCCAGCCAGCTAATGAGGGCAAATGGAAAGTGGTCTGTCAGCCACTAGAAGGTGGGGCAAAAAGCACAGAACACAGGGCCAGCGCCCTTAAAGAATGTGGCCACCGCCCTCTCTGAGCATACCCATGACTGACAGGGCACCTACACAGGACTGGGCTGTACTTCCTCCCTCTAGCATAATGTGGAAAAAGCAGCTTGGGGCCCATAAGCACTTCTTAATGGTGACTTGGAGCAAGTCAGTCAGAATACCTCATGCTGCTGCTTCTGTGGAATGGGTGCAATACCTACTTCTCAGGACAAAACTGAAATCAAATAATGTAAGAAAATCCAAGTATATGTCTGGCCCATCATTAGATGTCATATTTGAACAGTTGGTCTTTTCTACATCCTCCTTCCTTTTGTCCCCATTCTCCATTAACATAAGCAGCCTAAGGATTTTATCAAATTTTCATTAACATTTTCCCTTCAGTCATCCTGTCCCTTTCCTCACTATCTTCTATCACCCTGTAATCCTTTGGCCTTTAGTTAAGAAACATCCCCTCAGACAGCTCAGGGTGTAGGAGGGTATGGAGAGATGGTCACTGGGAAGAGGTAACTATGGGGAGGAAGTGGGAGAGGAGCTGTTGCATTGTGGTAAACTGTGGTCAATGACATGAGACAAAGTATATGTGAACTGCTGTATGGAAAGTGAATTTGCTCTGTAAATCTTCACCCAAATCACAACAAATTAAAATAAATAACAAATTAAAAAAAAAAAAAAAAAAGAAATGTCCCCTCACACTAAGCCCAGCATATCTTCTCGTACCCTACAGACTCATACCATCTTCTCACTGCTGGGAGTAGACCATGCATACGTCACAAGCATTGGCCGGCTCATTGGAATTGTCACACTAAAGGAGGTGAGATAACAGTGGCCGCCAAAGCCACCTCTGCTTCCAAAAAGGCACAGATGCTTATGTCCAGCTCACCAAGGGAAGATGCCTCTGAGCAGGGAGCTCCAGATACCTGACCCTCTCCCCTTAACAGCTCCGGAAGGCCATTGAGGGTTCTGTCACAGCACAGGGTGTGAAAGTCCGGCCACCCCTTGCAAGCTTCCGCGACAGCGCCACCAGCAGCAGTGACACAGAGACCACTGAGGTGCATGCACTCTGGGGGCCCCGCTCCCGCCATGGCCTTCCCCGGGAGGGCAGCCCTTCTGACAGTGACGACAAGTGCCAGTGAAGCCCTCAATAGGCAGCCAGGGATAGTGAGGACCGTAGCTGGTGGCCCAGATCCTGCAACTCTCATAGTCCCTCTGCCTTGGCAAAGTAGGCAGAAGCTGCAGGCGGAAGCTGGAACCCCAGCCCCTTCCAGACCTGGGGTGCCAGCCTCTCTCAGTTCATCCTACCTGGAACCTGAACCAGCGCCCACCTGCATCATGTTTCCCAGGGGCAGGAAAACCAGCCCTGCACTGGTGGCATGGGGGTGGATCACTTGACCCTGCTCCCCCTTTGAAGGGGGGAAAGGGTGGAACTAAGATGGGTTTATACTGGAACCTACAATGACCAGATGTATATAGAGATTTATAAAGATTTTTATATTAATTTAATAAATTCTTAAATAGAACAAAATAAACACCTAATGAGCCACTTATATATAGAATACCTGTGCCCTGCTGGCTCTTGTTATCTTGGACCCTCTTATATATCAAAGCCTACAAGGCTCCTAAATCTGCAGCCACCCACAGCCATAAAACTCTAGAGCCCAGTGTCCTTGGAACACAGGATCTGCTAGGAGTTTGGCTGTGAAGAGCCTAGCTGGGGCAGGGGTCCCCAGGACTAGCTTTGGCCTTCCTGTCAACCAAGAAAGGCACTACCCTCTTCCCTCATGATTGTTAGTCATTGGCACAATTTCTGCCTCACATAGGCATGACTGACCATTGCCCTGCCACCCCCAGCCCCCTTGTGGCCGTCTCTGGAAGAACACTAAATTCACAGCTCTGTAGCAAACAGCCATCCCTTCTGATTCCATCCCAAAGAAAGCTCTGGATGAATGAGCAGTGTAACTAGCTGTGAGCTGCCAGGCCCCTGCCCACACATCTTCTGCTCCCCCACTAGGGCCAAAAGAAGGCTGGAAAAAGCCCAGACCTCATTCAGGGGGCCAGGAAAAGGGTAGAAGATACTTGCTTTAACAATTCCAACACCTCCCAGAGAAGACCCAACTGAAAGAACGGACCAAAAACCCTCTTTCTTTAGGAAAAAAGACAAAGATTTAGAGACAGTGGAGAGGTAAAGCACAGTACAAGCCCAGCTGAGCAAGGGGCCCTTAGGGGAGGTCTTGATCAGTGGGCTCTGGGAGGGCACAGGAGCCAGCCCCCCTGGGTGGGGGTGATTCTATCAAGCACTGCACATGGACTTGGAGATGAAGAGAGAAGCAAAGAAAGAGGCATGGGGTGGGTAGAGGGAAAGGCCAGGCTCCCTCCACTCAAGCCGGCCACACAGCCCAGTCACAACAATCCCCTCGGGTTTGTATCATCTGAAGAGGAAATGTGTGTGGCTTTTTTGATTTAAGAACATGAACACCACTGTCTGCCACAGCTGTAGCCATGCCCCAGGGGCCCCGGGCAACCCCCAGCAAACCCCTGGAGTTGGGGCAGGACATGCGCCCCCAGCCCGGGCCCTGCCTCCTCTCCAAACACTTTCATGCAAAACACACAACGGAGGAGTGAGTGAGTGCCCCCAGGAGCCCTCTGGGCTGTGGAGCTCTGCTGGAAGCCTTGTGCCCGAACTTGGGCATGCAGACTCTGCCCCCAGCTGAAACCAGGGGACACATGCCACCACCAGGCAGAATTTCGGTCACTGTTCTTCTGGCTGTGCCTCCTCCTCTTCTAAGGACACCACCCCAGAAGAGACTACATCCGAAGCTTGCCGCTGCCGTTCCCAGCTGCCCACTGGCAGTGGGCAGAGCGGCTGGCAGTCCTCGCAGGGGGCTGGCTCCTCCTCAGCAGGAGAAAGGCAGGACTCCGTGAGGGGCGAGTTGTAGAGTGAGTCCTGGGCCTCCAATGGGCCCAGGCTGCGGAAGGCACTTTCCCGGCTGGGGGGCAGTTTGGCGAGGAGCAGCTCGTCGCCCAGCAGCTGGGAGGCCAGCCGGGCCGGGGAGCCCAGCAACCCATCCTCCAGGCTGCACAGACTAGAGCATAGGGTATCTGGGGAAACGGTCTGCGAGCAGTCGCTCTCAGGCTCCACAGAGCCCTGGCGCACAGGCCGGGAAAAGCGCCGGCCACTGAAGAGGTCTTGTAGGTGAGGCCCCAGGGGCAGCTGCCCAGATATGTCTGGTGGAGGAGAGAAAAGAAGACAATTCTGCTGGCCCCATTTCAATTAGCTACACACAACCCCTCCTTATTTACTCCAGCCTCCCTCTACCTTCCCTCATAGCACTGGGAGTCGGGGGGTGGGTAAGACCATGAGCTGGGGAACCTTGGGCAAGTCGTTTAACCTCTCAGTGCCTCAGTTTCTTTAATGGTGAATTGGGGATTCAAATCGTACCTACCTTACAGGGTTGTTTAAAGAACAGAATCTGGCACACAGTAAGCAAGCAATAAAGCAGGGCCACCATATATTGTTATGTAGGTTGGTCACTGCACAAGAGAAGCCTGTCCAAGGTAGGGAGTGAGGACTGAAATCCAGCCCACACTCTACTCACCAAGCAGCATGCCCTGGCATGAGACTGCACTGCCCGGAGAAAGGGGTGCCTTTTTCTAATTCGCACAAAGATTCCACATGGACTAGGTAGATAAAAGTTATTATTAGGGCTCGAAGCAGGCCTGGAACTCAATCAAACAAAAATGTTTGTAGTTTAGGGCTCTGTCTTGGCCTTGGGCATCCAAATCAGTGTCCTCTGGACCACAGCAGCATCTGATCTACTCTAATGTACTGCCCACCTTGGAGAGTTTGTTAATTAGCTGGAGGAGTGGGGGCTGGTAGAGGCAATCTTCAAAGGCAAGGAGGGGAACAGGGAGGCCAATGAGGCTTGAGACCTGAAGCTACAGAGAAAGCCAGCCACCACGTGGTCTGGGGAGTGGATGAAGAAAGGAGGGGAGTGGATGATGAAAGGAGGGCTGTGCAGCTGTGCACACCCCCCCACCCCACCCCAGGGTCCCCTGTGCATATACTGGCCCAGAGAAAGGCCTTCAGGAAGGTCTCCACTGGAATGCAAAGATACTGAGCTGGAGCCAGGGCTGTTCCAGGCCCAGCACGCTTTCTTGTTTGCCTGGGGCCTGAGAGATGCTGTGAGGCTGCACTGCAGCTCCTCTGTCTTGCACAGCCAGCCAGCAAGCTGGGAGAAGCACAGGCACAAACTAACCCTTCCACAGACACAGCTGCAGAAAAGGTGTCAGAAAAGACTCAGCACCCGGCAAAAAAGAACTGCTCCATTTCCAATGGCTCATTATCCACCTTTGAGTGTAGATCCCACTCCTGTCCTTGGAATGCCTGGACAGTCTGCCCCTCTCTTCTCCCTTTCGAAAGGCTTAGGGTATTCTGGGTGCAGCTTTGCAACCCCGGGGCTTATCAGGCAGTTCGACCCTAGCTGGCAGCACTAGCAAGGGATGTCCCCTCACCTGTGTCAGTTCCCCCAGCAAAGTCTTCATCATAGGATTCATCCGTGGAGTCCTCACCATCCACTGAAGACCATGCCCGGAGCTTGGCTTCGGCAATGGCAAACTGTTCAGCCACTCCTGCGGGGGAGAACACAGAATTCATTAGCAGAGGGGAGCTAAGATTAGGGCTCAGCCTGGAGGCAGGATAGGGGGTGTGGTGGTGAAAAAGACTCCAAACCCCACAACAGAGCCCAGGAGATAAAGAGAGCGCACTGATGACAAATGTGGCTGATCCTCTTTCCAACACCCACCTGCTGCAAAGCGAGCCTCTTGTTCACCCTCACTAAGGTCCGAATAGGAGGAAAAGGCTGATTCTAGGGCAGCAGGTGAGTCGCTAGGCTTGCTCCAGCCCTTCCACTCAATAAGGTGAGCTACTCGGCCCTGGGCCATGGCAGTGGGCTTGGTCACGTGGTCCTTCACCACCTGAGAAATACCTGGAGGTGGGACAGGATACAGAAACCTGGTAAGATTATGGGCCAGGGAGCAACTGGTCAAGGAATGCCAGGGGTGTGGTAGTTAGGGTCCACATAGGCTTTTGGGTGGGCAGATATGGGGATCAGAGTTATCTGAGAAAGAGAGGAAAAGAGATCCTAGCAAGAAGTCATAGGATATAGTCCCAAAGGGCATGTGCAGAAGGGAAGGGAAAGGACAAAGTGGCCAGAGACATGGGGATGGGAGCCGTGTAGCATACCATGCAGGGAGGATCTGGCCAGCGCAGCAATCTCCTGGATAGTTAGGGCTCTCCGGGACTTAGGCAGCATTGCGACTGTGTCTCCAACATTCACCTTGCATGACAATCACCAGAGGATTAGTGCCCCACTGATAGCAATGACTTCCTCCACATGCCCATATACCACCCAGAAGCTGGAGTCAGGAGCTGGGAAGGGATACCAGGGCAGCACCTATGTCCCAGTGGCCGCTAGGAAGTGTAAGCACAAATTGTGTCTTCCCGGGGAGCAATGGAGACTCAAGTAGGCCCAAGGGAACAAGACTGCCACTAACCCTCTATCTTCCCAGCTCCCAGAGGGGAAGAAGACAGGCTGGAGAGCCATGGAGTGAGGCCTCTGAGAAGAGGGGAGAAGAGCAATGGAGAGGGTATAACATCAGGGTCTTCTTCAGCATCCTCTTTTCTTTGTGCCCTCCACCTCTCAGTCTTCAGACACATTCTAGTTGTTTCTAAACTGCCTACGAGAGCCCCAAACTCAGCATGACCAAAAGCAAACCCAACACCTTCTCCCCACATCTGGCCCTACTTCCTGATTTCCTTACTTTGCATCACCCACCATTCTCCCATTCACCCTGGCTCCAAACCATCAATTTCTCCCTAAGCTTTGCTTGCCCCTATCTGTTGTCAAGACCTAATGATTCTACCTCCAAACTGCCTCTGATACTACCCTTTCTACTCCCAATGCCACTGACCCTCCTCAAGCCCTCAATGCCTCCTATCCAGAGTGGCACAAGCCTCCTCCAATCTCATTTTCTCAGCCTAGAACGTTGTATGTGTCATCACATGCACACACAGAGTCTCTCTTTCTCCCTACCCATGGCTGGCCAGTGGCTCCTTCTCAACCTTCAGGGCTTGGCTGAAATACCACCCTTGGTGAAGACCGTTCCTAACCACTTTCCAGTAGTTCATCCCCCCTGTTGTCTGACAAGTCACTATCCTCTATCAATGTACTCCATTCACGGCCCTGCATCACAATGTGTAGTTAGGTCTTTGTGCATGTTCTTGTTACTTGTTGGTCTCCCTCACTGATCTTAAGTTCTTTGAGCTTGGTCTGTTTTAGTTACTGCTGCACCCCAGTTTAGCACAGTGCCTGGTACAGGGTGATCTCTTCAAACACATAGGCTAAATGAAGTAGGGTATAAATGTAAACAAATAATTTTCCTGGAGTACAACTAGTCACAGCATGTCTTCATTTAAAATCCTTTCAGGGCTCTCCCACTGCCCAATGAAGTGCAGGCTTCACATTGAAAACCCTCAATAAACCTCACTGCTCAA